AGGCGGGCGGAGAGGGGGGAGTCGACAGCGGCAGCCAGGCTCGCAGCCGCCCGCGTCAGCGCCGGAGGGCGGGGCCGCGCTCGGGGAGAAGGCGGCTGGAGCTGCGCCGGGGGCCGCTCCCGCCCGCTCGCCGGCCTGGCCTCCGTCGCCCGCTCACCCGCCGCCCCGCTCTCCGCTTCGCTCCCCGCCGCGTCCCGGCGCGAAGATGGCAACCGATGGGCTGCACGAGAACCAGACGCTGGCGTCGCTGAAGAGCGAGGCCGAGAGCCTCAAGGGCAAACTGGAGGAGGAGCGGGCCAAGCTGCACGACGTGGAGCGTGAGTGCGGGCCGGGGCGGGGGCTGCGCGCCGGGAGGCGGGCCGAAGAAACCAGACCGGCCCCCCGGGGGAGCGGGGTTGGGGGTGCAGGGCCGGGGGGCCGGAGCCAGGCCTCGCGCCCGGGATGCGCTCCCTGGTTCCCAGGCGCCGGTGAGGCGTGGCTTGCGGCCCGGAGCCCCCGGGTTGCGCGGCTGTGGGGCCCGAGCCGGGCGGACCTCGGAGGCGCCGGACACCTTGTAGAGCCCCCGCCCGCTTAGCGGAGGCGGTTCCGCCTCTGGGCGGGGGCGCCTGGTGGAAGCCGCCCCTGGTCGCTGCTCTACCCCGGTAGGGTCTTGAGATGAGTTCCCTCCATCGCCTTCCTGAGAGATGCGAACTGATCGCAGTCCTGCCCGAGCCAAGCAAGGTGGAGGAGGGGGTAGGGTGTCAGCGGTAGCCAGCGCAGCGAGCCCTGTGGGCGCGGCCTAGGGTAAACTCCTGTTTTGTTTTTTAATCATTTGGCTTTCTCCATCATTGTTGTATCTTTTCTCAGTTTTGCTTTTCCGAGGAACCAGACTCTTGAGTTAAAACCTCATTTTTTCCAATCCCGGAGAACCGGGTGGGGAAAGGAAAGCAGAGGAGCTTACCAAATCCTACCATTTAGTTAGTTCACTTGAGGCTGTTTAAGAAGCTTTTGAAGGGATGCGGTGTGTTTGGCATAAACGAGCAACAGCAGTCGTAGGTAAACAACATACTTCTTGACCACTACCATAATTCAGAACCGGCTCTGTGATTTTTATGAGTGAGCAATTAAGTAGCCAGGTTAAATGGCTCTTTGCGGGATCCGCTTCCCTTTACTCTGTCAGATGGTTTGTCCTCGGCAGAGTTTGGGCTGAGGGCCAGGCTTGGGGAAGTGGCATTATCTGCTTATTTTTCAGCTCTGAGGATGGCAGCTCCCCTTTGCTGAGCCCAGCCTCCCTATGGTACCCTCAGGCACACCTATACATCCTGCTCCTACACTTCCTATTTGGGGCCACCCCTTTAATATTTTTTGGAAAAGAAACATGGGGTTCATGCTGGGTTGTTAGCACCTGATTCCTTTCTTGATAGAAGCAGATGACCTGAATCGAGAGCGTGCTGTGCTTTTGTAAGGGCCTCCTTCGGAGACACGCTAAACCTCTATATCATTTAGGGATGTGTCCAGCTACAGTTAACTATAGACCCCAAATAAAGTAGCGAAACAAATTGGGAGCTGTTTTCCTCGTGTAACAGGAACAAGGGTAGGTGATCACCGACTTTGGTTTAGCAGCTCAGGGTGCCATCAGGGACCCACCCTCCAGGCTTTCTTCTCCACCACCCTGGGAACACTGGCATTTGCCGCATTATTACAGTATGACCACCATAGCTCCAAACATCACCTCTGTATCCAGGGCCAGAAGAAGGGAGAAAGTGGTCACCAGCCTCTGTTTCTCCTTCTTACCAGGAAAGCAAAAGTTTTCCCCCAAATCTCCCTTCTTCCAACAGATTTTGTACTTTATTGGCCAGAGGTAGGTTACATTGCTACTGCAAGGGACCCTGGGAAAGAGAGAACTGAGCTGGACACATTGTCATCCCCAAACAACGTTGGGTTTCTGTTATCAGGAAGCAGTAGGGAATGGAAATTGGGAGGCATTGGACAAAGTCTGCCTCATTTCACTCTGCAAATTCCTACATTCTGCAGGTGCTATCGATGATGCTGTATGTGTGGTGTTAGTGCCCCTGAGGTAGGTCGTCTGACTTCTGCATTTTACAGAGGAGCAAACTGAGGCACGGCAGGGTGAAAGGACTTGCCAGAGGACTGCAGTCAGTCGGTGGTGGGACCAGGATTCCAGCCCAAACAGTCAGAACTCCAGCCCAACCTCGCTTCAGCTTTTTGCCCAACTACTTTGGGCTCTGTGCAAAGATTCTCCAGAAACTCTCTTGGCCAACAGTGAAGACATCCCACTGGGAACCTGTTAGCCTTTTCTGTGACTTGGGAAATGACCTTAAGGCAGAGAGATAGTCAAGGTAGTTTTTCAGCATAGTCCCCTGTCCTGCCAAGGATGCAGTACCCTCAGAAGCCACCAACTTTTGGACCCACAGTGGAAAGATCTATCCCCACCTGCATGTAAGTCAGAATTTTGGAGTTGAAAAGACCAGAAGTCATATGGCCATGTTCCCCTTTATTCCCCCTGCAGCCTCCAGACCATTTCTCCTCTACTCCTGTATAGAACCTTTGCTCCTTTGAAGCTCCTGTCTTTCAACTGACATCTGTTTTCCCCTTCTCCATGCTGCTGTCTCCTGACTTCCCAGCCAGGCTGCCTCATTTCTTAGGGAAATTTGGCACATGGCTTGAACCTTCTTTTTGACCTCAGCCCTGCCCCATCCCTGATATCTTCGGGGTTCCCAAGGGTGACTGTCCTAACCCACTGGCCTCTCTCTCCATCACAGTCTCCTGGATCCCTTTGGTGCTCAGAGCTACTCCTCCTCTTCTGACCAGTCTCCCCTCCCCTCAGAGATCTTCATGATCTAGGATCACTGGGCTCTTCTCTCTTCCAATCTCTCAACCTCTTACTGAGCCTGTCATTCTTACATTTTGGTGTTGTTATATAGATGGTCCTGTAGCCCCTACCCCAGCTTTTCAGGCCACAAGCTAAGATGGCCAAGTCGTCCCGGTTTGCCTGGGACTCTCAGTTTTAAAATGGAAGGTCCTGCATTCTGGAAAACCCTTTAGTCCTGGGCAAACTGGGACAGTTGATCAGCCTTCTGTTAGCTCTGACTTGCCCAAATTCTTGCCTAAAAACACAACAAAATAATAGAGTATGAACTTGGAGGAAAAGCAAACTCGACCCAACTCCAGACCCTCACTTCTTCAGCTCCCCTCCCTTTGACCCTCAGACCAGCATCCATACTGTTGAGCCCTCTTCCCTGAGTCAGACCCTTGGCTAACATTAAATAGAGGAAGTGGCTGATACGGGTGGCCCAAGGGGAAGCCTGCCTGCATCAAACTCCATAGCCCCAGGCCCAGCGACCTTGCCTTTCCCCATATTCCTCCAGAGCTTCCTCCTTCTCCGTACGTGTTTTCCCCTTATTACTGTCAGCTTACCTTCTGCCATGGGTAAGTGCTCCCTTGCTTGATTATAAGACATTTTAGAATCATGAGATATAATATATAGCTTGTATTAGTTTCCTATTGATGTTGTACAAATTTCCACAAACATAGGTACTTAAAGCAACATAATTTATTCTTTTACAGTTCTGGAAGTCAGAAGTCTAACTGGGTTAGCAGGGCTTTATTCCTTCTGGAAGCTTTAGGGAAGAGTCCCTTCCTGGCCTTGTCCAGCTTCTAGAGGCCACCTGCAGTCCTTGGCTTGTGACCCCACATCCTCTAACCTCCTTTCTCTCATCACATCTTGACTCTGATCTCCCTGCCTCCCTCTTACAAGGACCCTTGTGATTACATTGGGCCCACCTGTATAAACTGGGATAATCATCCTCTCTCAAGATGCTTAAGTTAATCACATCTCAGAGCCCCTTCTGCCATGTAAGGTAACATAGTCACAGGTTCCACGGATTAGGACATAGACATCTTTGGAGGTCTTATCACACAACTCTCAAAACTAGAAGGGTCACCTGCTTCAGCCTCAGTCTTAAAGGCACAAAAAGTTTTCTTCTCCTCCCTGCCACCTGTATGGATGAGACCACTGAGATCCAGGGAAGGATTATATTTCTTTAGCTGCCCTAAGGTTCTGCAGCTACTCTAAGGGAGAATGGGGAGCAGACGCCAGGGTTCAGGCTCCTAGGTATAGCTCTCCTCCTCACCCTGCTAGGCCATCACTCAGACAGTTGTGATTTATATTAAAAAGACAAAAAAAAAGTGGTGGGGGCGGGGCAGGCACCTAGATGGCTCAGTCTGTTAAGCATCTGACTTTGGCTCAGGTCATGATCTTGCAGTCCGTGGGTTCAAGCCCTGTATCTGGCTCTGTGCTGACAGCTCAGAGCCTGGTGCCTGCCTTGGATTCTGTGTGTCCCTCTCTCTCTGCCCCTCCCCTGCTTACAACTCTGTCTCTCTCTCTCAAAAATAAATAAACATTAAAAAAATTTTTTTTGAGGAAAAAATATCTATGCGTGTATGAAAAGATTTCAGTATTAAATTTTAAAAAGTCGTAAACAGTATATATAACATGATCTCATTAGCTTAAACAAGAGATGCTTGTGTTATGCGTTGACTTTGTGGCAGGTTACACAAGAAACTGTTATCTCTAGAGAAGGCCAGGGGAGGAAGGGAAGTAGAGGTATTTTTCACTTTATACCCATCTGTGCATTTACTGCGTGTATAATAAAAAATGAGTACTGGAACAGGAGTCAACATCAAGAAAAAAAAAAGAGTTCAACTTTAAAGAGTCCTTAACTTGAAATTAAACTGAAGAATGATCTGGAAAACAGGCTGCCAGCAGAGCAGGAGGCATGCTGTGTTTATTTCAGCTACCGTGTACCGGCAGCCTCCTGGGGCTGAGGGGGGCTTCTTCCAGATTCCCAGCTTCCTTGGTGGCAGATTCTCATCTAGTCTAGGAACGAACAACTCAAAGATTTCTGTAATTTCTTTGAGTACAAATCCAGATGACATTTGGGCAAATCATAGGACTTATCATCAGATGCTACTTTCTGTTCTAAATGTAACTTTGTGAAAGGCTTTACTGTCAAAGATTATTATTATTATGGCTGGAGCCTTGGACTCTTCTGATTTTATGGTGTAGGGAGAAATCTAGGAAAACTGAATTTCTGGATTAGTCTGAAACAAATGTGTTGGCTGACTTTTTCCACGTTCTAAAGGAAAACTACTGTGTCCTGAGGCTAGAAGTGAGTTTCGTTTCAAGCTAATCCTCTCCCTGCTGCTCTTCCACCCGCTGCCCGCAGCCGTGAGAGGCTTTCATTGCGTCTCCCTTTGCTTTGGCTCTGCGTTCCTAATTGCACACAAGCTAGCTAACATAAGTGTCTCCAGGGTA